GCCCAGCCACAAACAGTCGCCGCGACAACGGATCCGCACCTACGGATCAGGCCACGGTCACCGAAAGCTCAGATCGATCAGTCGGTACGTTACAGAAGTTCTTCAACGCCGCAATGGACCGATACCTGGCCGAAGAACGGGATGCGAACAAAGATCCAGCCTCTACACGTCCACAGCCCCAAGGATCACAAGACGTCGAGATGGAGTCCATCCGATCCTCCGGCCACGGATCTCGCTGGGAATATGACCCTGACGATGTAGACTGGCCCACCTCAGCACAGGCCACCGTAGCTACCGCGGCTACTGGAGCCACAGGTTCCACAATGATCCAACGAGTCCGGATCTCGGCGAAATCGGATCTGAAGGAGTTTACTGGCAAGGATTAAAACGAAGATGAGCGCGAGCGTGGATCAGCAAAGTCAAGTCCGCATTCATGCGAGATCAAGCATCGGATGACGAGAAATGCTTGACCTTCGCGGATCTTCTCGCTGGATCCGCGAAGAATTGGTACCGCCAACTGAGTAGATCCACTCGCAACAAATGGAGTGAACTACTACGAAGCTTCCAGACCCAGTATTGCGGACTGGGAGTATCGGTAGCAAGGCGATACTACCATACGCGACGTAGATCCGACGAATCTCTGCTGGACTACCTGTATCGGCTCAATGTGGCGGAACTCCGTGCGAGATTGAAAATCAAGGATGGCAATGCGAAGCAACGACGCGAACATGTTGATCACTATATCGAGACGCTCGAGGATCAAGATCTGGCAGAGAGGCTAACCCTGATGCGGTTAACTGACGCGGATGATCTTGAGGAGGTCCTCCGAGCTCGGGATCGCGCTAAAAATCGTCAAAAGAAGGCCGCGTTCGGATCCAGCAAGCAGAAGCCTACCAACTCCACCCCGTCCGCTCCAGCGAAACAAGTACGCGCGATCCAGATCCAAGCTAACGACTCTGGATCTGATAGCGAATCTGACGGATCGGGCGAATCTGACTCCGACGTGGATAGCCATCGCAAGATCTTCTTCGCAGCGAATGAAGATGCCACCACGAAGACAGAGAAAGCGCCGACAGCACCGGATCCACGACTTCCAGAACGTGATCAAGGTCATCAAGATCACAACCTGAAGATCCACGGTAATGGGTTTAACCGCGATCGGTGTTCACACTGCGGATCCAGGAAGCATTCGGATCTTGGTTGCTGGAGGCGTGTTACATGCACGAAGTGCGGCAAGAGAGGACATCCCTCGGAGCACTGCCTCTTCGTGTGTCGCGGATGTGGAGAATTGCATGACATGGGAAAATGTCCGATGGAGGAGTTCTATAACCAGATCCGCCAGTGGTTTAACCCCTCGAAGCACATGGGTATGTTACCCGAAGCTGCTGAGAAGATGTTAAACTAGGACGCTCGTCGGGGTGGAACCCGATACGAGCCGAGCGTTCTAGATACTGTATCTATGCATTTGTGAACAGGACATCGGTAGATCAGGTTAGTAAAAAAGACCAGATCTACACGGTAATACATGGGATCTACATGGGAACGCACCATCGCAATTTCAAGTCTTCGCCAAGTCGACGAATATGCCAGATCCGAAGTCGCCATGAGTGTAAATCTTCAACCAGGAGAATCACGAGGGTATTGGAAACAGCAGGATCCAGATCTGTGGTTTAGACCCGCAGATCGGGAAGTCACTCCGGAGACCCAAAGGCCTAGCAAGATCGCGGAGTACCAATGGTCAACAACCATGGATCTACTACCGGGAGTATCCCGTGGTTACTGGAAGCATCATTCGCCAGGCAAATGGTTTCGTCAGGCGAAGATAACAAGCAAGATCCACAATGAGAAGGCGAACTTCCTCTTAGATACCGACGCCGAGGTGTCCATCGTGGACACCGCCTTTGCTCGTAAGGTTGGGTGCTATATCGACTCGAGTCAGAT